TGGCAGTGACCAGAAATTATTCCATGGTGGTGGTATGCCTTTGTACCCTACAAACTATCTTGTTTATCAGGGGAATTTTCAGAATCAAAAAACAGATTATCTTCTGTATCACTGAAGGAAGTTATATAGGCCTCATTCAATTCAAGGCAAATGGTTGTCTCAGGAAGTTCATCTGAATAATTTCCTAGATTTACAAGCAGTTAAGAAAGCGGTTCTCTGTACTCCTATGACAAATTTTATAAGTGCTTATAAACAAATGATAGAAATCTAAATACTAAGATGAGTGGATTTGAGTGTTTGATATTAAATGAGGCTATTGATATACTAGGCATCACAGAAGGTTGGTGGAATGATGATGATCAATGAGACATGGTAATACCACGAAACAAAATAGGGATAATAAAGTAAGTTGCATTGGTGGTGGAGTGGCACTATATGTGAAAGAAAGCATAGAGTCAAATATAGTAAAAATCTTAAATGAATTAAAGTGTACCATAGAATCTCTATGGCTAGAAATTCCATGCTTGAATAACAAGTATAGCAGGAGGAATATAATACTGACAACCAGACCAGAATGTTGATGGTGATTGTGAAATGCTCTTGGAGATTAGAGAGGTTACAAAAACAGAAAACGCAACAGTAATGGGGGATTTCAACTATCCCCATATTGACTGGGTACATGTCACCTCAGGACAGGATGCAGAGATAAAATCTCTAGACACCATTAATGACTGCTTCTTGGAGCAGCTAGTTATGGAACCCAAGGGGAAAGGCAATTTTTGATTTAGTCCTAAATGGATCACAGGATATGGTCCAAGAGGTGAATATAACTGAACTGCTTGGTAATAAGGACTATAATGTTATTAAATTTAACATCTCTGTAAGGGGGAAAATACCAAAGAAACCCACCACAGTAGCATTGAACTTCAAAAAGTGGCAGTGCACAAAAATGCGGAAGCTAGTTAAATGGAAATTAAAAGAAAGAGTCACAAGGGTGAAATGCCTGCAAACTGTATGGAAACTTTCTAAAAACACCATACTAGTGGCTCAGATGAAATGTATACTCCAAATAATAAGTAAGAGAACCAAAAAGATGCCACCATGGCTAAAAAGTAGAGTAAAAGGTGGCTACAGGCAAAAAGGCATCCTTTAAAAATTAGAAGTCAAATCCTATTGAGGAAAATAGAAAGCAATGTAAATCCTGGCAAGTCAAGTGCAAAAGTATAATTACGCAGGCCAAATTTTTTTTGAAAAGCAACTAGCAAAAGACACAAAAACTAACAGCACACTTTGTAAGTACGTCAAAAGCAGGAAGCCTGCCAAACAATTAGTGGGACCAGTGGATGATCAAGGCGCTAAAGGAGCACTTGAGAAGGACTTGTGGAGAAGCTCAAAGAATTCTTTGCATTGGTTTTCACTGCAGACAATATGAAAGAGATTCCCACATCAATGCTATTCTGTTTAGGTGACAAATGTGAGGAACTGCTCAAGACTGAGGTGCCAATAGAAGAGGTTTTGCAATGAACTGTTAAAGAGTAAAAAGCCATGACCTGATGGTCTTTACCCAAGAGTTCTGAAGGAATTCAAATAAGAAATTGCAGAACTACTAACTGTGGTATGTAACCTATCACTTAAATCAGTCTCAGTCCTAGATGACAGGAGGATTGCTAATGTAATGACCATTTTCTAAAAAGGCTCCAGCGGTGATCCTGGCAATTACAGGCCAGTATCACCTCTGTATCTTCAGTATCAGAGAAATTGGTTGAAACTATAGTAAAGAACAGAATTATTAGACACATAGATTAATAGGATTTGTTGGGGAAGAGTCAACACGGCTTTTGTAAAGGGAAATCATGCCTCACCAATCTATTAGAATTCTTTGAGAGGGTCAACAAGCATAGGGACAAGAGTGATCCACTGGACATAGTGCACTTAGACTTTCAAAAAGCCTTTGAGGTCCCTCACCAAAGACTCTTAAGCAAAGTAAGCAGTCATGGAATAAGAGGGAAGGTCCTCTCCCGCATCAGCAACTGGTTAAAAGATAGGAAGCAAAGGGTAGGACTAGCTGGTCAGTTTTCACAATGGGGGGAGAGAGAAATAGTGGGGGCTTCCAAGGATCTGTACTTGGACTTGTGCTGTTCAACATATTCATAAATGATTTTGAAAAGGGGGTGTAGCAGGGTGGACCTCTGCTCCAGCCTGGAAGGGCCTGAGATAGCCCAGGGAGCAGGTAGCATGAAGGCTGAGCTGATTGAGGGAAGTGGCTGCAGCTGGGGCCACGCCCCAATCAGGCTTCAGCTGGCCTATATAAGAGGCTAGGAGCCTGGAGCTCAGTAGAGTCTCTCTCTGCCTTCAGAGAGGGAAGGACCTGGCTGCAGGGAGCGAGACAGGATACCTGAGTGGAGCAGGGCTGGGGAAAGGCTGAGGAGCTCCAGCCTGGAAAGCCCAGGCTGCGGCCTGGTAATAGGCCAAGGGGTACTGGGAGTTGCAGAGGGCAGCCCAGGGCTAGACCAAGGCAGCAGGTCCGAACCCAACCTTGCTGATGATGAGTGACCTATACTGCGGTCTACCCCAGAGAGTGGGGGCTAGCTGGTGACTGGCAGTGGCCTTATCCTGAGGTGAGGTGGGGTTAGTGGGTGGGGGTTCCCCTGGGAGGGGAGACCTAGCATATGTATGGGTATTGCCAGGGGGCAG